GCTATCAACTTGAGAGTGGGTGGACATGGGAAGAGCTGGGGGGGGGGGAGAAAAAGAAGGGTAGAAAATGATGAAGTTCTATTTCAATTTAAAGAATTACACACATACACACAACTTTTACCTGGGCATTGTAATCCCAGCATTGGCAAGGCTGAAGCAATATGATCATGATATTAGGGCTAGCCTGAACTACATAGTCATCCATGTTAGCCTGGGCTACAAATTAGATATCATCTCAAAAAACAAAAACAAAACAAACCCCACAAATTTTATCTAAACCCACTCCAAAATGATTTTAGTATTTTCCCATGAAAAGGCTGCAAAGGTCTGTTGCACACAGCAAAGCCACCAACACTTCACATCGCCTCATCTCCAGTGTGCTCAGTTCATCAACCAATCAGATTAAAGATGGGAAAAGGCAAAGACAAAACTATTCTGGTCTAAAGCATGGTAAACAGACACCTCCACCTCCACTGTGACCCTCTTCTCTACAGTTCTAATCTTTGGCTGTGTTTGGTTTTAGTTCACTAAGTGACTGTTTAGGTGAGCCTTTGGTGGTAGCTGTTGAAAAGGAAAGAGTGGCTGAAAAGCAAATGCAGTTTAGTGGTGTATGAAACAAAGAACTGGGGGCTGGGCGCTGGGGACACAGCTCAGTGGGAAGGTACTTGTCTAGTGTATACAGGATCCTGGGTTCAATCTCAAGTACTTTAAGAAAACAGACCAAAGTAGAGCTCAACTTGTTACTATGCTTCAGCTCTGCTCTCTCCACCCTTGTCCAAAAGGTAAATGGTATGTATATATGTAATATGTGTGTGCATATATATGAAGCATAAGGAAAAAATAGCTTAAGGAATAAACTTAACTGTCTGCAGTCACAGAATCTGAAAAAAAAAAAAAAAACTATTCTCAGAAACAAACTGCAGATAGGAGGTATGCCTTTTATGGTGTTCACTATGTCTCACCTCTGTTCTCTCCCAAGTGCTGGTACAAAATGAACACAGAGAACCAAATTCCCTAAGTGCTTATACCTTCCAAAGCAGACACAGAGAAAGCTATGGAGCTCTGTGAAGCACAGGACAGGACACATGGAGCCATGCATTACATTAGCAGAAAAGAACATGAGCCTCACAGCACCAAGGTCAGAAAATGCCAGCAACGTTTGTTAACAGCTTAAATAAAACTTAAATGGACAAGATCAAAAGTAGAAAAGCTTCTAACAGAGGAACAGGCTCTCACACAATCAGAAACATACCCGCCTTCTACAGAACCTATGAGGCGATCCTCCCTTAGCAATGACATTTATAAAGAGAGAGAGAAAAAAATCATCCAAAAACTAGACTCAGTTTCCCACTCAACAAATTAACTAAGCATTATACATGATAATTAAAATAAGTATATTGTACTAGACAGTTACTCTATTAAATTTAATCTTCAGAGAGATAAACTATGTGTCTCTTATATCTAATAAACAAGCCAATGATAAAAATGTCAGCAGATAAATGTTAATATAGTAAAGCACTATTTTAATGTAATGTTTGAAATGTTTTTTCTGTAAAAATATTAACCATTTTCTTAAAAGTTAAGCATATAAACATATTAACCATACTATAACTTCAATGAAGAATAGAAATGACTTCAGCATTCAATGAGTATTTCCAAAAGAAATATTTTAAATTAAAGATTGGAACACAAAACAAAAAAACTTGAAGAATTTTTCCAAACTAAAAGTAAATATTGGTGAATAAATTACTTTGGTATCTTAAATATATTTGAACTTTAAAACTGCAACATTACAGATATGATGAAAAATATGAGTTTTTAAGCACACGGGAGCACAGTAAGACAAAGCCAGTGACAGTGCGAGCATAGAAAAGTGGAATCTTACCCGCTGTTCCAACGCCGACTGCGTCTGTTGTCGTAAAAGAGCTTTAAAGGGCCCCCCTTCTTTTCCAGCACTACCGCTGCCCATTCCTTCAGGACGCCACATGTAAACAACACCAACAACAACTATGAACAGCAGCTCAACTGCATTCATCTTCATAAATAGCATCAGTCAAAATGATTTATACATTTAACATATTTTTAGATGGCAACTAACACATATTTTTTATTCTACTATACTTAGACTTTCTTTAAAGCAAGACATCAAAGTTCTGGTCACAGCTAGTTTTAGAATCAATTTATTCTAATAAGACTATTTAACCAAGGTAACAAATCTTTGATAACATTCAATATTTAAAAGTTGAGACTTAATAAAAATACTCAAAAGAAAAACTATTACTATGCTAACAATTTATACACACCAACTATCCGGTGAAATACGAAGGAAAAGCACACTAACTGTAGGAGAGCTACAGAGCATGGAGCCAGCATTCAGAACGAAGTTTACTCTCTGCTGACGCCTGCCTCTCAACCTGATGGCACACCACCATAGTGTGCTCAGTAACAAAAATCAACACAATTTCTGGGGAAAAAAACCTCACACATGTGAAAACACATCACAAATATACATAGTCACGGATGAAAGAATTCTATTTCCTCACTCTTAGATGTATTTTAAAGACAAATTTTACATCTCTTTCCCTAGCATTTTGTTGTTGTTGTTCTGACAGCAGCACAAGAACAAATATGACCCAAGACTTATATGGAGATGGATGGCTGGAAAGCTGGTACTGTGCACATTAGGGTGAACCCCAGCCTCTCAACACTAAAGATGCACACAGTCAGGTTCACTGCAGTGCCTTAGGAAGGAGCTACTTCACATTTACATTTTTAGCTGTTCTCGGATAAGGAAACAAGGGTTAGCATGTGTGTAGTCCCATTCCATTCTGTTTTTCTTATAGTAATCTTAACATTTTTAGAGACTATACAATGCTAACTGGAAATAAAACTAAGATCTTTATATGAAGCATATTAAAAGTCACAAAATAAAAGGTAAGTTTGCAGTGATAACTAAAAGTACCAGAAAACATGGCAGAATAACTTGATTAATGTAGTGGATAGAAAAAAAATGTATAATAAAAGAACACCACCAAAATGAGACTTAAACTGGTTCAAACAGAATAATTTTCTCATGTAGCCTTATGGTTTAGCAACAGGATGGCATAGGTCTGACGTGGATGGAGCGGGTATGGAGAGAGGGGAGCAAAGCATCTACAGCAGACACTTGAACGAGAACCTAGGTACTGATAGAATAAACATCCACATCCACATCCTGAGATAGACATGTTTTTAAATATAAACTTTAGTGAATACTAATAATTATCAATCAAGTAACTTCCAATGACATCCTTGTAATTCTGATTAACTCTGTCAACAAATCACTAATAGACATATAAAGCACACAATCATTTGCTATGGTATAAAATAATGTTTTCAAAGATGATTTAAAATAAAGGGATTAAAAAAGCTGACATAATGTGATCCTACCAGAAGCAGCCAGGAACAGCTCTTCACTGAAAGAAACACTTTTCCTCAGAACGGGGCTGACAAGGCTAGAGTGATGAGGGGTAAGGCTAGATTCCGAGAGGAGGCGGGACTTAAGGTGAAGGGAACCACAAGAGAGGGGAGTGGAGCTAGGACACAGGTACATCCCAGGCCCCTGTGGGTAAGGTGCTGTGGAGGAAAGTAGCAAAGATGCAGATTCAGAAGATGATCAGAAAATGCAGGAGAAGGAAAGCAATGACGAAGCAAAACATAACAGTCAAAATGGATTTCAAATGCACACAAATTAACACCAAGCGTAAGAACACCACCCATCCCAGAGCCCCTAGCCAATATAATTCAAACCAAAGATATCTTCTAAATTAACAAAGCCCTTTCAAATTCTACAGTCATTAAAAAAAAAAAAAAAAAAAAAAAACTTTAGATAACTAGCAAGATTTTTTGCCATTTTACATCACTTTTAACTGACTTCTTCAAATACTTAAATTGCCCACCAATTTTGGTTGGTTGGCTATATGTTTAAGAACTTGCATGGTTGAAAAACACCACTCCAGTGTTATGGTGAGAAACTGGTTGCTTCAATCACACTTAAAGTACTAAAGTTTGGTACCTTCAAATGTTACTAGCTAAAACACTGCGTATTTTTGTATTAATGGGATACTCATTAAAAATAAAGTTCTGAATTTTGAATTCAAAGTAGCCAATTTTTTTTCTCACCAGTTTTAAGGTATACATTAATCCTTTTACTTTTCCTCTAAAATTTTTCATACTTTAATCTGATCATAGTACTATTTAGAGAGATTTGCATATAAATGTCAAATAACCTATGGATTGTAAGAAATATATACAGCCAGCCTGCCTACGAAAGTAGAATTAACCTAAATCGAGTGTGTAAATCTCTGCCATACATCTACACCAGCATTCCAAAATTCCATTCCTATTAATTGAGAAATATTGAGAGAAATATTTTTTAAAGTCTCATTTTTAAAAATTAGAACCTAATAAAATTTTAAAAATTAAGAAAACTAACAAAAAAAAGATTTTATTATAAACAGAAAATAACTTTCTCAGGTCACTCTTTATTACCCCTGCTCGACTTCTGACTTCTCAGTTTATAAATAAGTTAATAATCATCAGCTTATTCCACTGTTTCTCCGAAGATTGATGGAAGCAGAGAAAGGTATGCACTGGGTCTCAGCTTTAGGAGTTTTGGAACGTGATTCTGCCACTTCATAAATGAGAAGTCCTGTGCTCCTCTGGACCATGCAAAGCTGGGGAAAGACTAAATATGCTACCGAGGCAGACAGCAAAATGAAGCACTTGCAAGTAAATATGTCGGGATACCACACCGCTTGGAAGCAAGGTTTTAAGAACCAGTGCTACAAGTCACTGCTAGCAGAGCTGGTGCCAGCCAGAAAGCTTGAGGTCTGCTTCCGTCACTTAGGGCTACAGAATCAGTAGGTCTGTCCTGTGGGAATTAAGAAACAAAAAGGCCAAGAAAATACTTTCTACACTTTATCTGTGGTACGGTAAGAAATAACTTTTCAGTAAGTGTACTGAAAAGTAGCCTAGAACAGTGCGCAGACCAATGCTCAAAAGTATGGTTGGATCTCACTGTTCATGAGGGTGCACACCTAAAGTCTCAGCAGTATTGAGCAGCTAATGTGACTGCTGCAGCTCACAAGGCAGAGAACAGCCTCAACAACTTAGCAAGATTTGGTCTCCAAAAGCATCCAAGAGCTGGGGATGAAGCTGAGACAGAGTGTTTGCCCAGCATGCATGCATGCATGATGTACTGAGTATCATGTCCAGTGCCAATAAAAAGGGGAGCAGAGAAGACAAGACTATCCTAAGTCTATCTTGTTCTGACTGTTATGAACATTAAGGCCATGACATTATTATTTATGTCAATGATAAAAACATTATTCCTTTTAAAATTTTCATTACAATTTGAATGGTTCAATTTTTATGGCACAAACTGTTAAAATGCCACATTCAAAAGTACCCATCACTACAAAATACCATTTTTAATTGTTACTCCTAATTATATATAGTGGGCCTTCAGTACTGTAAAGGACTGGTACTGGGACCACCATCACTACTGTACCAGAAATAAAAATCACAGACACTACAGTTTCTTATACAATAGGGGGTATTATCTGCAAATAACCTGTGCACCTCGTTCTGTCTATTTTAAATCATCCTTACATTACTTATAATACCTAATACAATGCACATGCTAAGCTAGAGAAGTTCTAACGCTGTAGCATGTAGGCAATAATAAAAAGAAATGTCTGCCTGCACTGGGGACAGGTGTAATCTTTGCTCGAGGATTTCTGACCTATACTTGCTTTAATATGTTAAGACTGAGCGTATACTTAACGTAAATAAAGTTATCAAAATTAATTGTTAGAGCAGCAAGGCAGAGATGGTAATAAAAACAAATAGGTGTTTATAGTATTTATAGTCTGTAACCATACTTATAAGAAAAAAGAAAGAAAGAAAGAAATTAAGTCTATAATGAATAACACTGCTTTATAGGTAAGATTGTTTTCACAAAATCTGAGGTTATTAAAAATGATGAATTCAAAATAATAGAAACAAAAACTGTTTTAATCAATCTGATAGAAAAACTGCCAAAAATAGTACTTATTTATAGAAATATTAGAAATAGTAAATCTTTACAATCTTTCAATCTTTCATTAAAAAATATTTAAATAATTTAATTTTCTCTTAGGAAGAAGCTAATTTAATCTTTTATCAATGTTTTATCAAAAACCATTAACAAAAACCAGAAACTATTCATAATACAAACAGGGGAGGGAAAATTATAAATTTAATAAATTGAAAACTATTCAAGGATTAGGAAATTTAAGCTGAAGTTTCAACCTGGAGAGCAAGACTAGCACAACTGAGCCCACAAACTCAGTATCAAGAATGACTAGCTAGTTAAAATGCCAATCTGCAAACAAATAATCCCTCTATAAAAATTAACTTTAATAACTGAAAAAAAAAATCAGTATTTACATTATATTTTAAGTTAGCATGAAAACAAATTAACAAATAGATGTGACCAATGTCATTTTCTCTTTTTGGATTTGTTTTCTATTTTCCAGTTAAACACAGGACACTACTCTACACTGAGCAAACCTTAAGCCAAAAAGCAGATGAAAAGACCCCTGTAATGCTACACTACCATTCCAGTTCTGAACTATTTCCATAATAAAAGCACAGAACTAAGTTCTGAAATAAGAACAAGTAAGAAATAAATTAATCATATGCTCAAGACGAATTATGTTTCAAAACCGCAATTTGATTGCAAACCACTAACTAGGGTTACTATGCAAATGCTTTAAAATGGCATTCCTCCTGACTTGAACATGAAATGAAGAATGTCAACACCCAAAAATAAATTCCGGACTTGATATCAACAATAATTAAATTAATTAAAATGTCATTCTCCAAACAAAAGTGTCTCTAAAAAAAAAAATAATAATAAGTTCAACAACTGAATTAATTAGCATTCACATTAACTTTTAACTTAAATGCAAAAACAGGAGGAAAGATTTGGATGGGAAGCTAACAAGAAACAGAAACAAGTTTTAAAAGGAAAAACAAAAGGTGGGTGGAAGCGCCTTACCCGTCTTGGGTGTCAAACTCAAATCTGTGTCAGAAGAAGAGGACTGTCGACTGTAGGACTTGGAAGGTGAAAAGGAATAGGTTTGGTTTTTCAGAGGGGTTGAGGGTCCTGATGAGTGAGTATTGGGATTGGGGTCCTCATTGAAGGGAGTCCTGCCAGAAGAAGGTGGAGACATATTAAGCAATCATGTGCCGAAGGGTGTGACAGTTGGCAGCATGATCCAAACATCAGGAAAGATCTGGGGCGGGGCGGCCGTCACGTCTTAAGTGTGGAGCTGGGAATTCGGCCAAGAGCAACACACTGCTGGGTACCCATTCATCATTCTCCAGATAAAGATTATCTGCATTGAAACAGTTAATAAGCCGAGTGGAAAAGCAAAGAAGCATGAAATGGTAGACTAATGGGGATTTTAAAAAATATATATTAAAAGGAGAAATAAAAAGAATAAACGAATGACAAAATATTTCAAATAAATGTTTTTTTTAAGTTACAAAAGAAAATGATGGCCACAAATGGTGTGTGGAAATATCCATAACTGTCTTCATATTTACACACACAAAAGTATCTCCGAAAGAAAAAACTGTTTCCTTATCCTATAGCAGCAGAGTGCCACAGCTAAAAACACAGCAAGAAGGACAGTAAGTAGATCTACACAGAAACACTGCGTAGAACGCGAACAGTTGCTTACCTGTTTCCCAATAGCTCTCTTCCACAGACTGAAACAGCCCCTATTGTTTCAAAACCCTACAGATTTTGCACATAAATAAGCCAATCAAAGTGTTGGGTGTCTACTTCACTTAGAAGTGTATCAATTTCAATTCTAAAAAAATATAGAGATATTCACATAAATACAACTGGAGGGTTCTCAGAATGCAATAAGCAAAAAATCATAGGGCTCTAAGAGCATCTGTGGAAGACACTTTGGAAGCTGGAAAAACAGCTTCACTTCCATAGTCAGAGCCTTCATGTCAGCTAAACAGAAGTCCTTCACTGAAGCTGGATTTGAAGTAAGAAAGGGAAGAAGTAAAGACTGTGGTACCTGCCTACACTACCTGCCTGCCTGCCTCTGCAGCCACTCTGCCCGTGGCCTGCCTCTCCCCAGCTCTGGCGTCTGAGCAGTCTCGTACCAGTATAGATGAGAGTGGGAACAGACACAGAGAAGTTCTGAGTAAGTCGTGAGCCAGTAGCAGTGTGAATTGGGCTGTTGTGAGTCGAGCGGCATCCATGGCTTGGAGGATGAACCAGCGGAGACCTGAAGGAATTTGTGGTCAAAGTGGAAGAAAAGAAAACAATACACACAACAGATTGCAAAAACTATGTTAAAATTATTTCGAAGGAGCTTTTGTTAAGGGAAAACACTTATTTTTTTAATTCTTAGCATGCAATAAGTTGAAATTTAAAAAAAAAAAAGAATAGTTAACAATTAATGTTAGGATATAAATATAATTTTAAAGGATCAGATTAATATATCAAGAACTGTAAGAAAATAGAAAGCATAATTGTCATCAGAACTAAGAAAGACTACTAAGACTTGAATATTAAGATTTTCTTTTAACACACTTGCTTGCATTTTCACTAAACAGGACTTGCTATTATATTTATGGGAGGAAACACCCATAAAAGTGAAAGGTCAGAGCTGTCATGTTCTTTAAAACTAAGATATGAGTTGCTGATACAGTTACTTGTATCTTTCTATGAAGAACGTTTAGCAGTTACTTATGCTTCTATAACCACACTTTCATGGCGGAGGTACTTAAGAACATGAGAATGAGCATCAGGAGCAGAAGAGCAGGAAGGGACCGGGCATGAAGAGGAGCAGCCCAACCTACAACCTACCACATGTTGCACAGCAGGCTAACCCAGCCCTAGACAGCAAGGGAACATGGCTGCAAGGTCACGCGGGACAGATGCTCTGCTGCCGTACATAACAGAAATCTAAAATGTGCTTTGGACGACTGACGCGGTAAGCCTCTTAGAGGTGCTCTGTTTTATAAAGACAACTAAGTGAGTGGGGTCTTCTTCTTCTAAAGTGAGAAAGGGCCTTCAAATTCTTCAACTTAGAAGGTCTACAACGCAGTTCTGTGCACACAAGAGATCACACTTAAGGCCCTCACAAAGCATCTGTGTGCAGAGCAGTGGAAAATCACCACAAGGAGAGAGCTCAGTGAGGAAAATCAAAGGGATCTGATTTTCATACAATAGCTAAGAGAGAGAAAGAGACTTACAGAGAGCACACATGTCATTCATTAATGCAGGTAAAATATTATGAACACTGCAAAATTTCTAAGTGTGACATCAAATCCAAGTTCAAATATACTGGAGCATTACTGTGATGTATTCTGAGTTCCACCAGTCTCCTTGTATGAAAGTTTGCCTCAAAATAATGATTTCCAGTGTTAAATCCATCCTATCCATTCTAATCATTCATCCATTCATTCATTCATTCATTCATTCATTCATTCAGGTAACCTATTAAATCCAATATCCAAATTCTACAACCAGTAATGTTATGCAATAACCAAAGACTACATTAGTGATAATAAGCTAAATCATAATGAATGTGAACACGTCACCCAAACTGATTCCTTACACCAAACAGAGTAGCCTCCATCCTGAGGGGCTTTCTAAACATGGCCTGTATTTTCAGATGCCTTCCAAATACCCTAACAATGCAGGGTAGAACAGTTCACTCTACAGCTCACAATTTAAAGTAAATGGCTGTGATGGAAAAGGAGAAATACAATACCACCAGGGTTTACTGAGCGTCTCTTCATGAATGTACTTGAAACATAACCCTGTTGTTTCTCTCTCTTTGTAAGGTCCACCAAGTGAAACACTTTCTTTTCACTCAAAACCTCAGTGTACAGATTACTTGTACCTGCAGACTTGTACTGCAGAAGCCTGAACTCTTGAGGTGTAAGTAAAGCTAGATTGTGGCAAGTGATTGACTCATGTCTTGTATGTATGTAAGTATATGTTTATTTATTTAGAGGCAGAATCTTATGAAGTATTCCAGGCTGGCCTCAACTTTGAGAGCCTCCTGCCTCTCAGCCCCTCAAATATTGAGACTACAAGCATGTACCATGGCAACTGGCTTCAAAAAGCAAGTCTTTAATTACACTTACTATGGAAAGGGGGGCAGGGTCTGAATCTATGTGCAATCTAACTCTACTGTATCGGCTGAATGTTCATATTTTTGCAATACACATTTTATTTATGCATTTTATTACAGAATCATGAACACATTCAGGGCCTCATTTGTGTTAGACACATACTCTCCATACCACTGAGCAACATCCTCAGCCTTAGGACAAAATTTTAACGGAACATAAAGCAAACTGAGGGTACAACCTCTTAATTCATTTCATTTGTAAGTATATTTCCAAATAAAACTTGCTACTACTGTACTAAATCTTGTACTAAACCAGCAAGAGAGGAAACTAAATAAATCTATGCAAGATAAAGAAACTTTTGTTTTTAAAAAAGATCATGGGAAAACCCTTTTCTTGAGAATTAGGATCATTCCCACTTGCCTTCTGCTGACTACTTTGAACTAAGAAATGGATTAGATTCTTCGTCTACAGAAATCTGACGCTGATAATCTAAAGTAGAAAAAGCCAGCAGACGACATCCTGAGGCTGCATCTACCAGCCACCTGCTCTGTCAAGGAAGCTGGGACACAGAAACACTCGCGAGTTCATGCACTGTTGCAATGGTGGACTTACAGAGAGGCGCCATCAAATGTTAAATTAGCTACCTGTCCTACCAGGGCACACAATTTCCTCAGCCTGGAGCTGCCTCTAGATCACTGGCCTAATGGGAGTACTGGTGGCATCTTGCCTGGAACAAATGTTACTCTACTTGCACAGTTGTTCCAGTTACACAGATTAGTCCACATCTCTGCTCCCCAGCAAGACTTTCAACACAATTACAACAGAAGAAAAAAAAAATCATTCAAATATTCTCCACTGACAGTTCAGAAGAGCACTTCTCTGAAATATTTGAAAATAAGAGTGTCAAGCTTCTCAAATTTCAGAATATTGAGGAGACTGCACCAGCTGAGCACTTAAAACCCAAGACCTAACTGCTCTAAAACCAAGGCTCTTGAGGACTGGTACTCAGTGTTTCCAATTTTAGAGTATTGCAGATTGCATATTTTCTGATTTGGGATGCCCAAGCTATCCTCCAAGAACCATGCCCAGAATCTACCCTTGATATAACTGAAAAAAACACAGGTCAAGTCAATCACAGACGCAAGCCTTCCTAGATGTACTGGCTAGTTTTATGTCAACTTGACACAAACTACAGTCATCTGAGAAGAGGGAACCTCAGCTGAGAAAGATGCCTCCATAAAATCAGCCTGTAGGCAAGCCTGGAGAGCATTTTCTTAATTAGTGACAAATGGAAAAGTCCATTCTGGGTGATACCACCCCAGGGCTGGTGGTCCTGGGTTCCATTGGAAAGCAGGCTGAGCAAGCCATGAGGAGCAAGCCAGTAAGTAGCATTCCTCTGCATCAGCTCCTGCCTCCGGGTCCCTGCCCTGTTTGGGTCCCTGTTGTAACTCCCTTCAGTGATGAGCAGCTGTGGAAATATAAACCAAACAACGCCTTTCCTGTCACCGTTGCGTCGCTCATGCTGTTTCATTCCAGCCACAGTGACCTGTATAGCTGCACTGAGCACACACTTTTCAAACAACCTGTAAGTCTAAACGCCCTGAGATCCGAACTAGGAACTCTTTTGCTGGGATTCCTTGTACTTTTGGTGGTTGTTTTATTTTTTTTTTCTCTCTGGTACTGAATAGAAGGCCTCAATTTCTCTCTCTCTCTCTCTCTCTCTCTCTCTCTCTCTCTCTCTCTCTCT